CTCTCTCCATCCCATTATGTCGACAGAGGTCAAATTTCGAGGCGCAATAATCATCTTTCATCATCCGAAAGAAGCGCCAATGAACCAAGCTCGAGTCCGCGCCCTACGACGGTAGGCATCATCTGTGTATATGCTCATTTGTGCTGAAATGTGTACAGTTAGGTGTAGAGTCAGCTGTGATGCGTCTATTCGCGTCTACAAAGAAGTTGCTGGTAGCATTGACGCAATGGAGTTTGATGAAAGTGGACGAGGCCTATGTCAGCGATGTATACGTTCGGGTGGGAAACGACTTCAATACTGCTATAGCAGCGTTTTCTCAGTTTAACGTCGACATGAAGTGAGTCCCACTTTTATTGGCCCAGCGATACCTGACCGTGGATAGTGAGTTTCAGTCTTTTCCAGTCGACTTGCGGAATGTCCTGGAACAGTGTCTTGCCGAGGACCCCACACCCGAGAGTCTCGAATTATATCTTCCGAGCGTCAAAAAGATCACCAATCTGCTCTCTGGTCTGCACGTAAAGCAATCTGCTTGCCGTCGTCAGCTCTCCGACCAACGGCGGGGTTCTCAACATGACAGCCGGACGGACAGTCGCTCGTCACGCGGGCCGAACTCCCGTCTGAGTCCACTCTCGAGGAGCACCACAGAGGACGGCGAAAGTCGGGGAGCTGCTCCCCCATCCAGTAGAAGGAATACCGGCAAAGCGTCCCGTGGTCCTCTCAGCCCCGTGGGGGAGGTTTCCTTTGAAAGCTTGTCATACCCTGAGCAGACATCCTACACGTCTCATAAATCATCGTCATCACATCGCCCGCCCGTCCCATCAAAACATCCTCCAGTCGCCGGCTCTTCCCCTTCAAAGACTTCTCAACGGGCTTCCACATCAGAGACGAGGCGTCACGCATACGTATGCTTACCACGGCCTGAATCTCCAGATGTCGTTGTTGAGCCTCCGAGTCCGGAAAGCCAAGAGGAAGCGTCAAATAACAGTCACCTTCCGTCGACTGATACCGCGACTCCCGACGTGGTGGATTCACTTGTTGCTCTAAATAAAAGCGACATTCTCGAACGCCGCGCTTCAAAGCGATACTCATCCTACAATATCTCTAAAATGATTGACTCTACACGAGAAAAGTTCAAGGGCAAGACGCACTCCATGTTGGTCTCCCCTGCGTTGACGCCGAGGGAGCTGGCAGCTCTTGTTAATCTAGACGATGACAGAACTTCTCCTTCTCCCTCTTCTCCCGGTCTGCCTATGGGCCGAGGGTCCGTTTTGTCTTCTCTTCCCCCTTCACTCAGTGCAACTTTACAATCGCCAGGACGCCCAATATCCCCGTCTACCACTCGCACTCCCAACCGCACTCCCAACCGTACGCCAGAACCGCCGTCACGTCCTCCGTCCCCGAAGAAACCATCAGTTTCAAATCTCGGTAGGGGATGTCCACCCGCTTCGTCAAAGTTGACCGTCTTCCTGCAAGTTGACAAAGAAGTCAAAAAAACCGTAATAGAACCCGGTCTGTCACTACCTTCGATTCGAATGTTATTCGTGGACCGTTTCGCCTACAATCCCGGCGCTGATAATTTCCCTGCTATCTATATCCGTGATCCTTCAAGCGGTGTACGGTACCAGCTGGAAGATGTGAACGAGATTCAAGAAAAATGCTTGCTTTCCTTGAATATCGAACGTGAGCATTCATAATGTGGAAATTGAAATCCCAGCTAACGTACTGCATGTAGCTCTTGAGCAGGTTAAACAGCACACGGATACACAGATTTCGACCCTGTCTGAGGATATGAAAGAGCTGAAATCTGCTGTCAACAGGATCAGTATGCAATCCCTCATATACAGCCCCATAGCCGAGAGTGCCCCCTCGACTCCCCCACCAGTCTCTGCCCGCCTGTCACGGTTCACTGGCTCAAACTTCTTCCCTGCAACTCCGCCGCAGACACCTTCCACCACCGGCCAAGCGTTGAAACTGCAAATAGCGTCTTCCGAATATCCTCCGCGCGCCATGACCGACCTCAAGACACAGTTTGACGAGGTGCAATGTCTACGGAGGGATCTTGGCGTCATGAGACAGCTCTATACCGATTTCATGAAGCAAACCAAGGACTCTTTGAGCACTCTGCGTACGCAAACTCAGACAGTGAAGCAACTGGCCAATGCAAATGTTGGTGGTGACCGTGCTATTGTCGATGCTGGCAAGAAGGCTCTCGAGAGTCGAAGCCAGAATATTTTGACAGAGGTAGAAAGGCTGCAGGATGCGATTGATGCTGTGAAGGCCGACTGTACTGAAGAGACACATAACGCCCAAGCCGCAGTACATGAGGTCGATTCGGAAGGATGCAGACGCGGCGGCAGCCGAGCTGGGGAGCCTCAAAGAGCATCTTGGGACGATCAAGCCCATGTGGAAGAAGACGTGGCGAGAAGAGCTACAGAATATCGTTGAGGAGCAAGAGTTCCTCAATCATAACGAGGAGCTCCTGAGTGATCTTCTAGAGGATCATAAAGCTTTAGGGGAAGTCCTGGGGCATCTGGAACAGGTCGTTACCATGGGATCGCACAGGGGACGAGGACGCCTTCCTGTGGTACGCACGGAAAGTAAAGGTGATCTAGGCACTGTGTTGCTGCAGATACGGGGTGCGGCTATAGACCCGGAGAAGCGTCTGAAAGCCATAGAGGAGAGTCAGAAGAATCGAGAGAAAGAGATGGCCAAAAGGTCAGACGACGATCTACAGACCAAGTTGACAGAGTTCGTCGGTGGGAAGAAGTTGAAACTAACCGGTGGGGTAGAAGAAGTGGAGCGGCTGAGGCAAAAGCGGAGCGATCAGGCGTTAAAGACCATGTTCAATGGCGCTCGTGCAGGTTTGAACAGTCCTTGACTTCCCTTCCCATATTTTTTCTGTGCGTCTTAGAATTCTTGTAGCGATTTCTTGGTTATACCAGTACATATGTAGATCTGCTCATCTAGTCGGGCTTTTGTATATTTTCGGACTATTGTATATTGTAGGATCATCCTGTTATATAAATCCTAATCTCGTAGTATGTTTTCAATAGCTAGTGTTGGTAGCAAGTCGGTAGTCAGTATGTTGTATTTACTATTGTGCAAGACGCGGCAGAGCTGCTTGTGATTTTGTTTCGCCTAAATTTAGGTTCCCATATAAGTATCACCCTGCACCTGCGGATACACTGGTTTCATTTCCAAGCTTCTTCCACAACAACGATGTCTGCAACTCCTCCCCCTCCAGCCTATTCTACCGCCACTGGAATTCAGCTCGCTCGCGACGCAGAGCTTCTTATTCAAGACTTCTTGCCTGCACCTAACGAGTATACTGGTCCTCCCCGCGGCATTCCGCTGCCTCTTTGTATCCCTCAAATCGCCACTAATTTCGACTCTCCCTTCTCTCGCGGTTACAACAATGTGCTATCGGAGGCTGTGGACATCCCTCAGGCTGAGCTTTTGGCCTTTATCGACGGTCTGAACCTCGCTATGACGGCGAGTCCACCCCTTCGTGTCGTTGACACGGCGGGTATGATCATTGGTCTCATGTTGGTCCATTGAATCAAATTGTATGACAATCATTACTGACTCTCAAATTCTTAGACCATATCACTGGACAATAATAGCCGGTGTCGCAATGCAGACCGCGGCCCAGACAGGGATGCGTGTTCTATCGAAAACCCTTACAGACCGTTACCTGCGCGCGGCCAATCAACGCCTGTTCAAACCGCGAGGTCTCTCCGTCCGCTTGTGCACTACGAATGCTATGATGAGGCTCATCTCCAATGAAGGCGGGGAAGCGCCTAAAATATCCATGATGAACAAAATCGGTCGAACAGCAGGGACCGTCCTGCTCTGGCTCCCAATTCCTTTCAGTAGCCGTATCGTGCGCCGCATCTCTGATAAGCCCGACAAGATTGCTCCTTCTGAGGGCCCTAAAAAGAATCTCGTGCTTAAGCGACGGCTTCAAGCTGTCGAGGGTTTAGCACTCCCGCTGGAGCTTGACGATATACCTCCCCCTCAGAAGCCGGAGGGCATGATGGACAAGATGAATGAATATGGTGTGAAATTCGATAAGTATAGAAATAACAAGAAGGAAAAGAAAAACGAGACCCGACGCAGGGAGCTGGCTCGCTTAGAAGCAGGCGGCTCTGACCTGAGCCGGTTGGAAAGGCTGCAGCGTATGAGGATTGAGCATAACAAGAGACGAGGCGGTCTGATAAGCGGGATCCTCGGGCCGAAGGAGACCAGGCTAGAGAGGAGAGTAGCGAATGCCGACCTTCTCGAGCACTGGGGTACTGATAAGGTTGTTTGGATCGTCATAATGAACGAAGAGAAAGGTGACGTTATATTTCTTTATTCCAAAATCCTGATTTTATCTAATATCCGCCAGATCGAGAAATCGAAGGAATTGAAATCGCGGATAGTTATGAAGATGAGGAACGCATCGATGACAATATGTGGAATCAGGTCATGGAGTTAGAGCGCGATGAATTAGACGAGGAGTTGTTAATGGAAGCAGATCAAAAGAAGTAGAAATACCGTGACAGTACGAAACGAAGACGGACTTATGGACATTAGTTAGACTCGTCAATTAAACTGAAACGAACACTCCCAGAATTATATGCTGACCATGGGCGTTTTTCACAGATATGGATTTCTGTATTACTACCAATCCCCTTGGATTTTCATGCGGGGTACTAAAAACACCAGTTGTCACGTGGCGGTGGACATACCATTTTAGGCGAATTATCTCTCCACCGACCCAGATGACTTTCTTGGAGACGAAGACCATTGCAGGCAGCGGCAAAATACAGTATCGTTAAAGAAGTACCTACTTTTGCATCAAATATATATCTCTCAAAGGGCTTAAAGTTCTATAAATGGTAACTCCTGCACCCATGGCCCGAAACTTCCAGATTTCAAAAGCACGGGTCCCTAGGGCAAAGGCATCGAAAATATATTATATCCAAAGGCTGAGGAAGGTCAGAACATGCAAAAAGTGCCCCCTACAAGGTTCGAACTTGTGACCTCCAGATTAAGTCCCAGAAACTGGGATCATGCTGTAACAGTATGAGACTGGCGCTCTAACCAACTGAGCCAAGGAGGCATGGGTATTAGGTAAATATATGTGTATATATTCATTTAATATAATACCGGCATCAGTTGCCGATTCAACCGGTCTGGCTGGCAGTCTAGGTAACTTTCTCTTAGCCTTACCTTCCCTGATCCCTTCATCTACCTTACCCGTCCCCTAGTGCTTCCTTTATCGTTTGTCAGCTATGGACTTTTGGGCGCGTAGCCGACCCCAAATTTTTTGAGAGGAGGATCCCTCTTTCCCATACATAACTGCGTCCGACATTCCCAGTCCCGGTTGTGCTCATGTTCCCCGACGAATGTCCGAAGACGCGATTAAAGAATACGTGGAGGTATATGTCCAGACCGCATTGAACACAATGGAAACTGGATTTGATGATGTTGAACATAGGGCGAATTGGTTGCCTACTCCATCAATTCATACAGGACGTGACAAACTAGCGAACTGATGTATACGACAGCATTATTGGAAATCGCGCAAGATTTCCCTTTGAGATCGTTGATGCAGCCATTGGTGCGGAACGGACGGGGTGCCTTATCAGCCCCTGCAATTCTATTCAAGATATAGGTACGCGCCGCGGCGCGGTCGGAGGTCATGACACAGAGCTGACCTACGCTATCTAAGGTGTATGAAGACCTCAAACTAACTTCACGTATCCCGTTTCTGCGCGGGTCTCTGAAACCACGACATCCAAACATTGCTTACATTCATGTCATTGAACCGCGTGTAAATGGTACGGGATCCGACCGAAACGAGGGAAGTCCACTTTTGCAGATGGAGAATGATTTCATACTGGTCATCTGGGCCCCAAAGCCTCTCATCTCGGCTGGCGGACATGAGCCGTTACAGTCACCGATGAGATAATTGCTTTCGAGAGACATTTCCTGGCCAACGTGGGTGATCTTCCTCTGACCTCATGTCTAAAACCTCGATAACATATACTGATGGGAGTAAGTTTCAGCCTGACCTGGTATATCAGCTAAAGAAAGACATACGTCTGAACGCACACGATAGATCAATTTTCTATGTACCAGGGAACGTTGGCAAGGGATACACGGACTACCTTTTTTTACCGGGGACGTGTAACATCCAAAGTCCCCGCTGTAGAGAACCGGGATGACATGAAGCGCTCCAACAGGCATCTTCGTGAAGTTCTTCTGGTCGGTCGCGAAGCTGTCAGCCAGAACTATGCCATGTATCAATGTTCAACTATCTTCTTACAGTCATAACAACATGGTGAGTTTAAAGTATAGGAATTTTAGAGGAATAACTTTGGACTGTAGGACTCAAGGCTGCTCGTCTCGCGATTGTCATATACATCAACTTGAATACCTCATTGATCCACATTCTCGCACAAAAAAATCATTGCCTTGGTCTTCGCCCCGAATGAATCTAGTAATGGCTCATTTGGCTGAGCATGAATTTAATATTGCGGCTCCGTACCATGGGATACGTACAGGCGACCTCAAGCCTGGGCGTACTTTGAAAATTGGAACATTTTTCCTAACGAGCGCAATCTCCCCGGCGGAGAATGGCTAGGTGGGGAAATTTTGGGTCTTCGACGCAGCTTTAGACGGTAAATGTGGTGTATAGCTGACTCGAGGAGATGAAAAGCAACGGCACGAAGGTATGGGTGTACTGCGTCACATGTGGCATAGCGGGCCGTTCATGTGTGGGAATGATTCAGATTAGATTCTTTGCTACTGACCATTCTGTCATCCTACAGCTATGACGCCTCCAGCTGAGCTGATTGTGCGTATCCTCACCAACACCTGGGCCAGTCTAACTTCAACTGAGGAGCACATCAAAATTTTCATAACTTGCTCTTTGGTATCCAAACATTGGGCTGCCATCATCAAGGAGGTCAACTCCGTGCACTCGTTGATCCCTTTCTCGTACAATGGAGGACAACTATACATCATTAAGTCGCTCGCCTCAATCTCGAATCCTATGCTTTGTCGCACTCTAACGTTCAGGGTGAATTATGTGATCATGCCGCAGCGCCTTGTGGTTACCGGATGCGAACCTTCTGTTGCGGTCAACAGGGGGATAGAGTCTGTCCTTCGAAAGTTAATCTGTGGCCCTAATACACTTCGCCACGGAACTCATATCTATCTCGACTATCTCGACGATTCCCGGGTGCATGTCCCCAGCTTCTGGATTCCCCCACAGATCACACGGCTAACAATCCACTACTACCATCGTTCTTGGGTGGTTGACTGGTTAGTACAACAGCGTCACTACCGTCGCTGCGAATGTGAGAAGACCACCGTCGACCGCCAAGTCGACCGTCTCTCCATCTTGGCAGCTACACCTGACCTAACGAAAGGACTAATTACCCCTCTCAGTGGATGGAAATGTCTGTCTTTGTTGATTATCGACTCATATGTCCAGGACATCGCTATTCCAGTCTCCTCTGAGATCTCTGTCATTCGGAGAAGTGATCAATTCCGATATGAGACTGTGGAACCCGACTTGTCGTGTCGTGCCATGTTTGGCGATCACCGAACCCAAGCGTTTTGGGTTCGCACACCCTTTGGTATGTTGTCATACATCCACGTATTCGGGTACTAATTTTACTTTATCGGTTTAGCGTTTCTCGACGACCTTGACATCCCAATGCTTGAACAAGCTATTCCTGTCGGGTCTGTGGGTTATATCCATCCGATGACTAGGAAATTTATTATATTGTTCAATGCCACCGATCCTGGATCGTCGCCCGGACTTGACTCAATCCCTTCTCTTCTTGACAGTGGTGTGACAACGATGGTCATTGACCCAAATCGTTCCCAGGGCATAGCGTGGGAGCGTGACTACGATGCAATATCGTTGCTCGCAGACTGGATTCAAGGGAGCTCGTTCGTTCCTCCTTAGCTTGGAAACCATTCTTGCTACTAACCGACCTGGCAGATTGTATACTGTTGGATATGACAACCCAGAATTGCTATTTCTTACGCTGGGGCGAGCCTGCAGCAAGGAGCTCATAGGAACTCATTTTGAGGCATGGTTACTGGACCATAAGCAGAAGATCCTAGACATTTTCGGAGACGAGCACCCATATATTCGAAAACGGCTGGAGCTTGGTGTGGCAGTCTCCTTGCTATAAGCTATGATTTTAACTCGCTAACATGTTTGAAGTGACAACCGCAGTAGATTCTTCTCAGTATGGTTGGTTTGCGCATCTAGGCTTTAGATCCCTGCGATTTGCCAGGGATCCGAGACGGAAAGTAAGTGTGCTATCGACACTCTATGGTAAATGTGCGTTGCCTCTTATAATCTTTCCCAGTTGTACTTTCGGCTAGCTTCTCCACACGTCCCTGGAAGCCCCTGGGGAGAGTTCGAAATACCGAAATACCATGACCCCCATGATCTAATCTCTTGGAGCCACGTCTCCACCGTGGGTCAGTCACCGATGACTGTGCATATTCGGTGCCAGTCTCTTACTTAGTCCCACGCTTATTACTACTGTGTTTTGGCGGCAAATATGACTCGCTTACAAAGATCGGATCTGTAGAGATGGGTCGAGGTGATTCTTATAGACTATGTATTTACCGGTTTCTTCTTGCTGAGTTCTTTTATTGTTCCTGTGCTCTTTTCTTACCTACTGTGCGACTTGTAAGACCGTCTGTGTGTTTCCGTCTTCCTATCGCGACGACGCCTCTCTTCCCCTCCCACTTACCCTCTGTTTTGGTGAACTCGTCTTGAGTCGCGAGTCAGTGATGGATCAACAACTTTGATCGAAGTGCATGGGCTTCTTATTGCAAGCTTTCTCCTTACTTTTATTCACTTCCTTGCTTATGTATTGATTTCAGAATCTTGTTGACGGAACCACGGCACGGATTTTTAGTTGGTGCATCTTGGCTGAATCACTCTTCCTACTAAACAGTGCGCTTTGGCCCGTGACTCAAGCCTTGAAATCCCATAGCCCACGCCTGGCGGCAGTTTACCACATTTTGTCTATTACCTTTACATCCCCTCATTCAATGATGGGTTAAGTCGCGTAGTTTTCGAGAAATAGAGCGCGCGCGCTTTTTTCAGGATGGGTTAAGTCGCGACACAATGTTGTCTTGAAGGCCAATCCCTCGGGATACACACTCATGCAGTGCGCCGCGCGAGATTACCACCACCTTCAACCCAATACGAAGGAATACTGACAAAGGGCTTACTAATACGTGTTTTCTTCACTTTTGTCTTCACCAGCTAATCTGTCACAACTCAAGGTTCGATTAACATTTCTTATCTGTCGGTCAGGTCGTTGTAGATCGCGTCAACATGACAGGCGGCCTTCCACCTATCTACAGTTCCGTCTGGACATTGTATGTAGATAGGCCGTTTGCACGTGGATATTCATTCGTAGCCAGGTCCAGGAAGGCTGAAGATGATGTTCGGTAAGTCGATCCTCGGCTCGATGCCTTTGTCGCTTCTATACTAACGAAAGCAAGCTGACATGGGATTGCATCTCACCGCCGTTACAGCCGCCGATGAGAAGAATGATGTATTCACTTTCGGAAGATGTTTCCTTCCCAACTTCCTCATGTCTAAAATCTTAATACTGATGGGAGGTTTCAGCCTGATCTAGTATACCCGGCTATACATCGTGACACACGAGTTTTTCTACTAGGGAACGCCGCCAAGGGATACAGGGTTTTACCGGGGAGGTGCGCATGCACTGCGTGTAAAGTCTCCACGGTGATCCACATGCTCTTCCGGTCGGTCGCAGTTGTCGTCGGGGGAGACCAAACAGGCCGTCCGACCTATACCATGCAGCCTCGACAACCCGGCGAGTCTTTAGAAGTATAACCTCTATTTACCGCTCGTCAATGCTTCGGGCAAGTTTCAATATAGCACTTCATTTCATAAGATTTCAAACGTACGTGAGACTCCAAGGAAATAGAGTCGAATATGTGTAGGGAGCCGCAATACTAAATTCATGCTCCAATGGAATGAATTATTGCTGGATCCATTCGGGGGCGAAGGCCAAGGCGATGGAAGGCCATTGAAACAAATTTCCG